ATCTTCCCAGTTTCACCCCCATCATAGGTGGATTTAAGTTCTGTTTTTGTCCACTTTCCACTACCCCTGAATAAATGTACACAAGCCACTTAAAACATTTAGATGAAAACAAGTTTATTCTAGCATTGAAAACAGTAAAGTTTTTAAGAAATTGAAGAAGTAGTTTGTGTGCAATTTCTAAAACCCTTAGAGTTAGAAATCTATTTTTATGGTATTGACATTTCATTAAAAATAGATTGTTATGTGATAAGATTTCTGTAATTTCTACAGAAGTAGCTAGTTATGTGGCATTTTTCCCTTAGTTTCAGTGCCCCAACAATTATAAGATATAATACTTTAATATCTACTGATAATGAAGAATGTAATTTTTCTTCTCCACATTATAACATATTCTGCCTTTTGCCATGAGGAAAATTACGCATTACATTGGAAATTTTAACATTTTCACATTTCTCCTTTAATATTTTAAGGCATGAAAAGACATTGTTACAGCTTAGATCTGGAAAGTCTCCCAAGAACTCATATGTTGAAGTCTTCATCCCAATGCAGAAATGTCCAGAAGTGGGGCTTTGAGGAAATAAATTGATCATGAGGGCTTTAACCTCATTAGTGGATTAATCCATTAAGTGGATTAATAATTTGAATGAACTATTGGAGGTCATGGAAACTTTAGGCAGATGGGGCACAATTGGAGGAGGCCAGTCCCAGGGGAACATGTCCTTAGGAACTATATCTTGTCCTTGGCCCTGTCTCTCTCACCCTCTCCCCTCTCTGCTTCCTGGCTGCCATGAGCGAGCAGCTTTCCTCAGACATACCCTTCTGCCAGAATGTTCTGCCTCACCTCAGTCCCAAAGGGAGACTACCAACTATAGACTGAAACCATGAGCCAAAATAAGCTTTTCCTCCTCTAAGTTGTTCTTGTCAGGTATTTTGGTCATGGTGATGAAGAGCTGACACACACATCATGGTGCTCTTCTGTTTTTACATGCAGGTTCAACTTACTTGAAACTGAATACTTGTTTACAAGAGGTTTTATGTTAGTAGAATGTTCATAAATACTACCTTAATATATAGTAGAAATGGCTAAGGAAAAGATTTACATGGTTAGTACTCTTAGCAAAATAAAAATTCTTGTATTCAAAATATTAGCAGCCTCTATAAAGGGGCTCTACTGTTTTAATTTGGATTTCTATAACCTGGATTTCTTAAAGTAAGCCTAGACAGCTTATTTGATTCAAACAAGAGTTCATGCTTGAAACTAAATGAAGGTTTCATGTATATTTGGGTTTTCAGGGGGAAAGACAGGTCATGCTATCACTAAGATCCTAAAGGGAGATCCTTAACCTCATCAAAAAAAAAAATAAGTCTAAAGAACTTGGGAGTGATGTTTCACTACTGATAAAACTAAGGCCCTGTACCTTTCTCCCTCCCTGGTGCACCCATTCTGCATTGGATCCTGGCCAGCTACGCTGCACATTAGGACAGAGTCAGAATGATTCTTCCCTAGAATCTTCTGAGAGACCACGGCCCTCTTGCACTTCTACCCTCTAGAACTAAGAGAATACATTGCTGTTGTTTTAAGACTCCCAGTGTGAGGTACTTTGTTCCAGAGCCTTAGGAAACTAATGCAGCTGCTAATAATATAAGCCTGAAAAAGTAAATAAATCAGGTTGCTTTGTTTTTGTTTGCCCCTCAAGTAATTAAGAAGCCCAGAGATTGGCAGTCCATGCAGGTATGTCAGCTCCATGAGTTACCCTAGGATCCTCCTCAAACTGTGATCTTCAACCAAATGCTTGGAAGGCAACTTTTGGAGCTCCTACAAGCATTTCTGGCAGGCAAAGTTGGGGGGAAGTGAAAGTCCAAAAGGCCTGAGCTGAGTCATTGGCCAGGAGGAGCTTTCCCAGAAACTCCACCCAGGAACTTCTCTACATTTCATTGGCCAGAGTTGTGTCACATGACCAACCTCAGCTGAAGGACAGGTGCCCAGTGCTGCCCTTTAAAATCAGTTGTACTGGTGCAAATGGAGTGGAGGGTGGAGTTGGGCCAGCCTTCTGACAACTCTACCACCTCCTCAGGCCTCCAGGCTCCCTGGCTGCTTGTGCTCTTTCCAAGAGAGCTTTACAACAAGGAGCACTCAGACCTGCTATGAAAGACAAAAAGATTTCTATCATTTTATCTTCCCAACCTACCCCTGTAAGTGTCACTATTGCCAATCTTGAGTATATGATTTGTGGGAGGTTCACAGCAAAACAGAGCATTCAAGAGAGGCTGGCTAGGACCTCCTGATTCATAGTCCCAGGCAATATGACCAGTATGGTCAGGCAATGTAACCAATAAGATTTTAGAAGGTCTCACATAGATACTTCTATAATGAGATTGTAAATCTGTGTAAACTCAGGTGTACAAAATTTTGCCATAAAGTTCCATTCTCACCAGTGGCAGTCCAAGGGCTTAAACTTGCCAGTTGAAGACAATTCAGTCTTTTACAAGTTAGGCGTTTCATCTAAGCCAGTGCCCACTGTTCATTTTTTCTTCTCCCTGCCACGATAGTGCCAGGGTTCTGGGATGGACTCACATGTTTCTTTGGTGTTTAAGGAATGGCCTCTGAATGCCTAGAAGGTCTTTGCTGGCCTCTAAGGAGAGCTCTGTCCCTGCATATTTGGGGGCTCTATCAATCTTCTAAAATGCCTGCAGAACTGTTCTTGTCAATTTTTTGCAGTTGGTTGCTGTTAATATCTTGTGGATTGTTTTGTTTTTTTATTGAGAGAACAATTTGTCACAGGCTTTTAAGAAAACCAAAAAACATTTGCTCTCTAATTAGAGAGCAAATAATAATATGTCTATTATTTCATTCAACTTGCTTTCTTGTTGTAGAGCAAGACTTTCTATTAGCCAAGAACTACAGTCAAGTTTTCCCAATAAATAAAAGCTGCTTTTCTCTGGAGTATGTAAGAGGACTTGTCAGCATGTTATAGATTCATTCTTACTGAAGATTCTAGTAAATTGTCAGGCTGGAAGCATGTTGATGGAATCAGTTTGCTTTGCCCCTTACTGGGAATATTTTTTGGAAATATTTAGAATGCCAGTGTTTTTTTTTTTTTTTTAATGTTTCTATTAGTGCATTACAATTATACGTAATAGTGGAATTCATTGTGACGTATTCATATATGCACAAGATTTGTTCCAGTTCATTCCTTTTCCTTTTACTTCTCCTTTCCCCTGCTCCCCACTTCTTCTGTTCTTCCAGTCTTTCTTCTATTTATTTATATGTATTTTTTCCTTGGCTCATTATAAAAGTGGTACATTGTGGTACATTCATGCATGCACATAGCATAATTTGGTCTACTTCCTTTGCCCTAGTTCCTCCCCTTTCCCTCTTTTCTCCCCTTCCTCGATCCCCTATCTCTACAGCTCTCTCTCTCTCCTGTTTTCATGAGGTTATCCCCACCAGTGTTTTTTATTTTTTTTTTTCTCTCTGGCTCCTAAATATGAGGAAAAACATTCAACCCTTGAATCTGGCTTACTTCACTTAGAAGACTGTTCTAATAATCTTCTAAGAATTTATAATAATTTTCAAATAATAGTGTCTTGAAATGTATGTTCCAAGAGTGTTCATTCTCTCATCCATTCAGTGAATTCTTATTGTGTACCTGTAATGCCTCAGGCATCATTTTGTGCTTGCCCTGAGCAAGCATGTCTTGGAAGTTCTGTCCTCTTGGGGGAGAAGGCAGCACCTACAGGCAATGATGCCAGAGAGGACTAAATAGGTGGTGTGGCAGAACTAGACTTGGACTTGGGTCAACTTTGGTTTGCTCTGAGGATACAGTGCCAAAGCAGAAAGTTGAACAATAAGAGGGGGCTAGTCTGCACAGACTTGGAGGCAGAGTCTTCAGTACAAGTGTGCTGGCTCTGCCTCTGGACACTGAGCAAGCAAGGGTGATATATTAGCTATGGTGGCTGTAGGGACAGGCATGGAACCTAGGAGTTTCAGGTAGAGACTGGGACAGCGTTGTTGAATAAGAGTATATCATGTAAGACTTTGTAACTGGGGCTGTTTTTTAAGGCCACAGGAAATACAAAAGCAGTATGAATGTAAATCTTAGTGTAGCAATTTTCAAATTGGTGTCCTTATTGGTCTCTTTATTACACAGTTTTAATTGTGCCTTCCAGCCCCCACCACATTCTCCTGTGAATTCCCAGAAGGAGGGGGCTTTCACTCAACCCACTGAGCTCCCCTAAGAATCCCACCTCATTAAGCCACAGTCTGTCAAAAGGCTGTGTGCATCCTTCAGGGGTGTGGAGCACCAGGGCCACTGCATGTGTGGGTAACTGGATGTGATGCTGATTCTGAGGATCAGAAGCTGGCTAGATGTGTCCCTCAGGTCAGGTCTGGGAAAAAGTCTCTTCATGTGGCTCTGAACCTCCTAGAGGATGAAGAAACAGCTCCTGTGAAGATGCTGGCTGAAGGCGTGCTGACTTTGTAAGCATCGCCACCTAAGCACAGCCCCTAGTGCCATGAGTTTGTCCTCTTATTTTTGAAATGAAATGGCAATGAGGTTAATAAATCCTTAGAGACATTGTATTAATTTTAGTCACCTGGGGATAACTCCTCTTTAGTGAGAAAGGTAATACCAAGGAACTCCAGCAGCCTAGGAAACTAAAGCTAAAATGTTTCCTCTTAGAGACTGGATGAATGCTTCAGGCCGCTGGCCATGTAGTACATCAAGAAATGCCCTGGACTTTTAGGAAGTAAAGATAACAGCTGCCATTATCAGAGCACATTGATGGAACACTGGAGAGAAGGCTCCATACCAGGCTGTGCATGCAGGCCTAGTGCTGTCCTCTCTGCTCCCCACCTACAGTATGCAGAGCATCCCTGGTGGGAACAATTGCTCTGAAAGTTGGCAGAAAAACTCCCAGGCTTGTCTAAAGTTACAAGGTAGCAATATGTAAATTATACTCAAAGCATTAGTCATAAAATGTCATTCTTCTATTTTCAGTAAATATTCAAGATGTGATATTACAAGAAAATTTGGAAAAAGAAGATCAAATTCTGGTTTCCCTGGCAGGATTAAAACAGGTATTTGCAGTACTCTGATACTATTTGTGTCACACAGGCCACCCATTTGGTGCCTGCTCTGGGGAGGGCACCTTAGAACATGGAATGCCATGATATTAGAGCCAGTATCTCCGTAACCCTAATATCCCCCCCTTACTCCTTCTAGTGATTATGTCTGACAAGCTGGCAGCTCAGAGGTGGTTCACTGGAGCTAGGTGTGCAGGCAAATGGTGCTTCCTGCTTAGGACATGACATACATATCTGACCCTGTGAGAATCTGACCATTAACACCACAAAATTTTCCCTGGTCATTGCTAAGTTTAAAGGGTTGATAAAGTTGAATTTTTCCCCTATTTCTTTTAGTAAAATGTTAACATTCATACTATAGTAGTCACCCCTTAACCTCCAGGGCAATACTGTGATCCCAGGGGATGTCTGAAACTATAGATGTGCTGCATGTAAGGTTCAGCACTATGTTTTCCTAAATTCAGAATACCTAGAATGAGATTTAATTTATAAAATAGGATAATTTATACTATAATCCCAGTAATTTGAAAGTGTTCTCTCAAAATATTTTATTTGCCCTTCTTGTGAGAAGAGACAGCACCTATGTGAATGAGTAGGCATGCTGGATACTCCTACGTAAGGGTGACTTGAACACAGGTGCTCTAATACTGTGACAGCTGATGTGATAGGACCGTGCATGATTTTGCTGTACAGATGATTTACATTCTAGGTTGTTTGAAGGGGCAGCAAGAGACTTCACCACACTGCTCAGAACAGTCAACAATGTTTATTTTTTCTAGAATTTTCCCTTTAATATTTTCGGACTCCTGTTGACCACAGGTAACTGAAGTCACAGATGAGGGGAAACTGCTGTATAAAAAGGTCAATGACAAGTCTAAACATAGGAGATGTAACCAGCACTCTAAATACAAACTCATTCATCTTTTTTATTTTATTCTTTGAAAATAGATCAAAGACATTCTAAAAGGTTCCCTGCGTTTCAACCAGAGCCAACTGGAAGCTGAAGAAAATGAGCAGATTACCATCGCAGATGACCACTACTGCTCCAGTGGCCAGGGCCAGAACGAACAAGTTCCTGGATCCACCAAGCAGGTACAATGCTGTTATGTGAATGGGCTGACATTGAGTAGAAATTCTTCAACGTTATGAATAAGAAAAATCCTACCAAAGTGTTTCAGATTACCACATGTGAAGTTTAAATAAAACACCACACGTAGCCCCAGCCAGGGATGCTGTGTACAGGTTGTACACTCCAGAGGTGGTGCCATTAACAAGGGTAATGATGAACTAGAGTTCTGCAGTGCTCAACCTGAAAAAACCCACATGTGGCAGCAAGAGCTGCTCTTATTCTGTGAGAAGAGAAGACAGCTATCTTAATTGCCTCCATTCTGTTAGCACAGGAAGTACTATCCCTGCTTTCCTAATGCTTTCACTTGGCTAGAACTTGTTCTGCCAAAATTACTTCATCTGTCTTCATGGGGAAGAACTTCATTAAGACAGGAGTCAGCAAACTTTTTTTGGAAAGGGCCAGACAGTAAAACATTAGGATTGGCCTACCACATATTCTAACAACCCTTTAAAAATGCATTCTGTGGATGAGGCCTGGAAGCCAGACGTGACCATAGTTTGCTGCTCTTGGGTCTCAGTATTATGTAGATTTGTTCTAACCTAGAATCCAGTTAGAGAGGATCTTAGCACTTCCTTGCATGCTTTATCCCGCCTCTTCCTCTTGCAATGAGAAGGCCCCCAGCTCACCAGGTATTATTTTCAGATTCCCTGCCCGCATCAGTAAGTTTTAGCTCACTGTACTTTATTTCCCTCCTATATCTGAAATAACAGTTTAGATATCTCATCCTGAATGTAAGCAAAAGATTTATCTGAAACTGGCATCCAGAAGCTTAGGAGATATGCCTTAAGAAAGAACTCTGCATAACCTTGTAAAAGCTATTTGTCATGGAGCAGTTCTAGCTACTTAGTGCAGGTTTCAATTTGATTAGTTCCTTCCCTGCACAGCTGTTTTACTTTTCAAATAGAGCACAGACCCACCATTCTTAATAAGAAATTTGGGGATTTTTGAGACAAGGTCTCAATGAACTGGCTATGATTATGGGAATGTACCACCATGCCAAACTTAACATATTATTTTTAGGTGAATGTGTAAAAATACTACAGACCCTCACCCCCCCCCCCAAAAAAAAAACCTTTACAAACACTAATGAATTTACTAAATTTAAAATGTCTTTATTATATTAAGCCAGGAACGGTCATTCCTGGTTCTGGTATTTATAAGGACCTGTAATGGACACAATGAGTTCCCCCGTTGGTAAATGCAGAGCCCAAAAGCATAAACAGGAGATAAGGAGAGTATCAGGGGTGACACCCACAACAGAGGCTCTCCTAACAAAGGAAGCAAGGGAGTTTTATTGTGGAGATTATGCCTATTCATACCAGAGAGACTTGTAGAGGCGGGCATATTCCTGTGCATGTGCAATTAGAGATCATACTTCTTCATAGAGTCCATGTTTAAATGGCAGGCAGGAACCCCTCCAGGGATGAGAATTTAGCATTATAAGGAACAAAGTTTACTTTGGCTGGTTTAAGCCAATTCCTTGTGGAAAGCCTTATTGAGAGAGACACTCTGAAGGGTATTAGCAGTTGTCATTTTTGGACTCTCCTGCAAACACAGGTGCTGGACTTTGTGTAACAGCTAACAAAACTTCCCCACCCATACCTTTTACTCCTTGTTGATGAAGAGTTGGGAGAGGGAAATCATTTTGTGGAACACCTTCCTCCTGAGTTAGATGAGTGAACTTCACTTGATGTCAAAGGAAGGAACAAAATCAGTAAAACCATAGCTGAAGTATCCTGTGCAATTGTTTTACTGCAGCATTTTGAAGCACATCTGACATAAATAAGATCAGTAAAATGGACATTCCTAATTTGATTAGCCCAGAAAATACAGACTTAACACCCTGCAGGATCCAGGAAAGCAATTCTGAGAACCAGTCATTTATTCCTTGTGCTTCCGGGAATATTTGTTGAAGCCAGGATGCCTGTTTCACAGTGTTCTCAAGGTACGTTTCAACATCAGGAGTGTTACTATAAGAACAACAAGAAAGTACCCATGCTCGTACAAACTCCTTTCTCAGATACAGTTCAAAGCTAAGGTAGTGCCTGGTAACCAGATTACTAAGGATTCTATTCCTTTTTGCTATGTGGAGATGGCCCAGACATGATTAACACCCTGGAAAGAATACCTAATAAGTTTATGGGCTCCTACCTCCACCAGGGCAAGAAGATTCTACTGAATGTATACCAGAATCCATCTTCCTGGTTGTGTTAGTTTTCAGTACCTGAGGAGAAGAAAGATTTGTTTTGGTTCGTGATTTCAATCCAAGGTGGAGAAAAACTGCTCCCTTCAGCTATGTATATGCTCACTGGGGCTCCTTCAGATCCCCCCCCCCAAACAAGCAGGTATCCTGTCAGCATATGGGATTCCCAATCAATTGTTTAAACTGAGCTCTGAGTCCCAGGGCAAGGTCTCCAGAATTGGCTTAAACCAGGGTTATGTAACTGGTGGCCCTTGGTCAGTGTTCTGTTTGTTGGGAGCCAAGGTAAGAGTCTGGAGTTATTGAACAACCCTCTAGAGATTTATGTTAGGAGGTTGTGGACTCTGAGTGTTCCAGATATTGAGTCTCAGGTAGTCCATACAAAGGGAAAGGTTTCTGTTACTTCCTTGGCAGGCTCAATCCAGGTATTCCCAGAAAGCCAGAGCCTCATATTGTTGGCTTTCCCTTACAGATAATCTAACTGAGCTGTTATTGGGAAATATGTTAAATAATTCAGTGACTACAGCAGTATTGATGGGCTCAGGACAGTTTATAGCCTCAGGGTATATTGCAGAACTCAAACCCAAGGGAGGATATGTGGAGTTTCGGGTGGTTACCCTTACTTGGTGCATTACTTTAATGGGTCTTTCATCATAGTACACAGTTAAGTTAAGAACCATGGAAAAGTTGGTCACAGGTAAAACAGAGGAGTCAGGGTGGTCAAAAGGGTTTTGGGTAACATATCCAAGAGTCCATTAAATTCCTGCCTTATCCAGGATTGGGGAGATTGTTTTTCTGCCCTTGTGTTCACATGGAAAGAACTATACACTGAAATCATAACAGTTAGTTTGCTGGGGTTTGGCAAAATGTAGCCAAGAACAGACAATTATGTCAATAATAACATGAAGGAAATCATGTATAGAGTGTCTGCCTAACTATTTTAGAAGACAAACTCTCCAACAAGAAAAGTAGAAAGTAAAGCCTAACAACAAATGATCTTATTTGTTTGATCTTCATTTCCATGGGTCCCAGCCTATAGGAGGGGCATTTCCAGGCTCATCCAAAGTCTTCCAGTTCCAGGATGCTCTTTAGTCTTGTGTGAAGAATCCAGGGAATTACACCTTACAATTTAAGAGAAGAGTGAGTAGTGAATAAAATTAACACCCAGTACAAGTTGTGTTCACTGGGTCTTCAGGGAATCCTGACTTATATCCAACCCCCTAATTCATAGGGATGGAAGTATATTTTGGTAAGAGGAAGATTGAGGTTTATCTATCTATGAAAGGTAGCCATCACCTGCCCCAAGTTCATTGTATCTTATTGCCAATTCTGGTTCCACATCAGAACCACTGGCTCCTGGAAAGGATTTCCATTCCACATCTCAAAGAGGCTGAGCTTCCCTTTAGGAATAGCTTCCAGGAACTGTACTCGGAAACAGCTTCCAGGAACTGTACTCGTTTTGGAGTTTTGGGGGTTTTTTTTGTTGGTGGTGGTTTGGTTTTGGTACCAGGGATTGAACTCAGGGACACTCAACCACTGAGCCACATTCCTAGCCCTGTTTTGTATTTCATTTAGATACAGGGTCTCATTGAGTTGCTTAACACCTCATTGTTGCTGAGGCTGACTGTGAACTCACAATCCTCCTGCCTCCCAAGCCACTGGGATTACAGGTGTACACCTGGCTTTTACTCAGTTTTCTTGCAATTGGTCCTTTCCATGCCTATCTCCATTGTATTCCAAGCATCTGGGAAACACCAGCACTATCTTTGAAGGAAATCTATCCAGCTGTGACAGTGGACCTATTTTTGCTTCAAGGTCATTTTCTAAATTCTGCTTTTTCTGTTACACAGGGGAAGGCTTCCATCTAAAATACACCTCGGACCTCCCAGGGTGGCTGGCATTGCAGGTCCTCTCCAGGCAGCATCCCTGGCTTGTACCATCTTAGCCAATGAGAATACAGGCAGCCTTGTTTGAATGAAGTTTTTTTTTTTTTTTTTTTGGTAATATACACCTTGTTCTCATTTTACATAAGATCTCCTTTAAGTCTGGGGTCCTTGTTACTCCAGGAAGCCAGTCGTATAATCACCTACACCACCTTTGTTAGCGACCTTGCTTGCCTGTCATCCACCCTCCTAAGCAGGAGACATTTTGAAGCTTGCTTTGTTTCCTCTGTGTAGGGGGAGCACTGTCTGGCAGTACTATTGTTTTGCTTTCCCATGAGGGGATCTAGAGAGGTCAAACAACTCCTGGGTCCCAGAATCCAGCAGGATACAAAAGAAAATGTCTTTTAAGTCTAGAACGATGTCATACTTATAGTCCTGGGAACATTAGCTAATAAGGTAGAGGGACTGGGAACAACAGGGTGCATGTCTGCACAGCTTCACTAATTACCAGTCAGTCCTGAATAACCTGTGCTCTCCTTTCCTTGGTTTTTAACCAGCAGGATGGGAGAAATAGAGGGCAATCTGCAGGCTCTCTTTAAACCCTGTTTAACAAGAAGACTATCACCTGGTGGAGCCCCTTAACCTTGCCTCCACAACTGAGAGCCATGAAAAAATTCCTGCCTGAGGATTCAGCACAGGCTTGATTCTAGCCATGGCCAGAGGGGATTGTTTTACTCAGGCCAGCTGTTGGTTTGTTTAAGATAAACTTTACTGGTTTGGCTGATAGTTCTTCCCACTCATCCTTGCAGACCTAGGTTTGATTTGAGTCGGGACAGTTTTGGGTATTATTGGTGTTTTACAAAGCAGCGCTGTAAGCTCAATGCTAGGACTCTTGGGGACCTGTACTTCCATCCTATCCTGCTGAAGATGAGTTGTTGGCCCCAGTTTGGCTAACCAACCTCTTTCTCAAAGGGAAATGGGACACTCAGGAATGAGTGCTTTAAAACCTTGCAACCTCCCCCACAGGCTCAAGAAACCCTTTTTTGGTAGCCAATCAAGGAGCTCTTTGACTTCATCAATCTTCATTTTCTGTGAGGGGAGGTAATAGCAGTTGGGTTTGTCCCCTACCCTCGTGAGACAGTTTGGGTATTCCCTCTTCAATATCCCTCCAATTTGCAAAACGCACACTACTTCAGTCCCAGCTTTGCTGGTGGCCAGCATGTCTCGTGTTGGAGGAAAGGGAGACTTACCCACAGTGACTTCTTTCTTCCCTCAGGGTTACCTGGAGGGCACCTGTTAAAAGGGCTGCCTGCTTCTTCATCTTCTTCAGCCTTATTTGTTGTTGAAAACCTTGAAGGCAATATTCACAAGTTGAGGAGAGTTAGTTTCTGGACCCACATTCAATTTTGGGAGTTTTCTCCAGATATCAGGAATACCCTGAGATATGAAGTAGGTTCCAAGCACTGTCTGGCTACTGTCCCCCCTCAGAAATCCATGGGATGTGTCTCTGAAGACATTCTTTCCACCCTCCGCATGAAAGCCTTTCATCTGGCCTCTGCTGAATTTCCCTCAGTTTCTCCAATTAACTAGGCGTTGGCCAGCTTCTGGCACCCCTAGTGCTCCACTCTGACTCTCCCTGCAACTGTGTTGGGGTTAGGAGGGACTCCAGATCTGGCTGTCCAGCCCTCTAGCTTACTGGCTTGCTTTCTTGCCTCTGCTGACACAGCCAACTTTTCTTCTCCGGTTAGGTTTAAATATCCACCCATAAGGGGTATCTTCACAACCCATAACCCCTTATGAGAGTGACAAACCTTCCTGGGTCAGCCTCAGACCTTGGCCATGTGCCTTCCAGTTATAAAGGCTAGTGATGAAAGGCATTTGTACATACATTAGAGGGAAGAACTCCATTTCCTGGTTTATAATTGGTCCCATGTCTAATGTTGCCGTCAGGAAGAGGTGTTTATAGGTTTGAGGATGAGCTAGGTGCAGAGGCCCTGGGAGAGTCCTCCAGACAAGGGGGTTGAGGCTCAGGAGGGTAGAGGACTATTCTCTTCTTAGTCAAAGAAGACTGATTAATTTATATTTCTTTTGGAGTCCCCGATTGTGATATAAGACCATAAAGCACTGTCCATAGGGAACTTCATACCACTTCTCTTTCCTCTTACAGATCTAGTTGCAAAATACTATTGCAATTTAGGAACCCATCCTCAAGACCATTTCTCCTGGTCACACAGGAGAAATGTATTGTGGCCAAAGACGATGTTTCTTAGTCACTGACAAATAACCAGACATCCATCAGTGATGGAAACACCCTCACGGGCTGTCCAAAATGGTTGTTCTGAATGAAGATCCCACAAATCTTTACCTGGAATAATTTTTTAACTTAGTCCACTGTCAAAGGATTTCAGAGCATTGAAACTGTAAAATTATAGAACTGGGAGCAGGTGTTTCAGCTATCAAAAAGCCATAGCTCCCTCTGGAGCTCTAGGATTTGATTTCTTTTTGCCTTGCTGTAGATCTGCCAAGGATTCTGTACTGAAGCTTTCTGTATTCAGGCATCCCCTACCAACCTCCCCTTCAGCCTGGACTGAGCTCTAGCTGACCTTTGTGTGAGCTTGCCTGACTAAGGGTCTCCTGAACTCTGTTACTACAAATTTGTTAGCCAACTCAAGAGTCTGGCACTACTGACCAAGCTGGGGAGAACTTGCAAACAAAATGTTCAGAGATGCTGAGTCAGCCAGGATGGCAGCAGGTACAACAGGAGATCAGAGTGAAGAAAGGCTTCTCACTTGAGCAGGTAAGGAGAACACTGGGTGGATCCCAGAGCAGTGGCTCTCTAGGCAAAGGAAGCAGGGTATTTTACTGGGGAGACAGAAACCTGCACTTGTCATCACATGTGTATACACACAGACCATGCTTCTTCCTGTGTTGCACATTTAATATGGCAGGCAAGAACCCCTCAGGGCAGAGAATTTAGCAAGATTGTAATGGGCAAGGTTATATTAGGTCACCTCTAGAGAGGGACTGGGCAGTTTGGGCTAGTTCCTCACGGTCCTCTCCAAAGGGCAACAATGAATTTGGAAGATGGTGGCAGTCATCAGGGGAAGGTAGCAACTTCACCGCCATAAGCACAGGTGCTGGACCCCACATGCATCCCCAAGATGAGCCAGCTGAGATATATGAGAGGAAGTGCCCTGCACCCTCGCTCTGGCAGGGCCTCACCTGGGTGCAGCATCCAAGAGATACTTCTCGTCTGCACCTGCTGCTGAGATGGCCCTTCCTGGACCTAAAGATCCCCCAAGTGAAAGAGAAGAGCTTCTCTGCCTAGTCCCCTTGTGGCCCCTTCCCTGTGATATTTAGCAGCTTATTAAGAACTAGTGCTCCTGAAAAGATTTGACCAGAGAAAGGAGAACAGGGAAGCATTCTCCTTAGACATAATTTTGACCAAGACAACAAAGTCATTCCATCTTTGGTACAGCCCATCACCAATCTAACATGTGAATGCATCACCAGAAAATATCTCAAGACCCTAACACTGTTCCCTGGCCTCCTGTAACTGAAAACTTAGGATCAGGAAGAGAGGCAAGCAAATCAGGAAGAAAAAAAAAAAGTCCATGGGGCCTTCTGCAGCAAAGCACAAGGATCTGGAGAATACTGATCAGGGGTCTCCCAGGCAGGAAACCTTGACCCACCTTCTTCCTGCATGAGCCTGCACTGTAAGCTAAGAGTCATCTGCACTTTCCTTCTCAGGGCTTTTGAGTAGAGGCAGGGAATGCTGGCTACAGTCAGGAACATGCCATCTCAAGGGTAACAGGTAGGTACTATACAATTAGAAAAGTTCTTCAACCTGTTGGTCCTACCTAAAACTGTCCAGGACCACAACACATGGTTCCCTATTCCCTTGATCCTTTTTATTTTATAGTGTGAAATCAGGATTAGGGTAGAAGCCTATAGGATGTCTCCTAATGATGGAATGTTGTCTATCTGTGCTATACAAAATAGCAGCTCCTAGCCACATGTGGGCACTGAACACTAGAATTCCCAGTGACCCAATAACTGAACTCCAAATGTCTATAACATTAAGATAAAAACTTGGGCTTCACGAACCAGCTCCCAAGTAGGAACTTTGAAGGCTTGCTCTGCCAAGTTACTAGGTGTCCAGGGTACCTGCTGTAGTAAAGACCACTATGGAAAGCCATGAGGAATCCATCTTGGTGTCTAGATTTAAAAAAAAAAAAAAAACTGGAAGTAATGCAGTGGAGTGGAGGCCTTGAAGTTGCTTTGTGATATTGGCCAAGAGCCCAAGGCCCCTCTCTGGATCTGTAATATTAAGGGCAGAAAGAAGGATTAAAAAAAGAACACAATTAAAAGACTAGGGATCACCAAAGCCCTGTCAGACAACTTGCACTGTCTACGCCAGTCCACAACCTGTATCTGGGAAGAAACAAGCCAAATAATCAGAAGAATGGGAAGAACCATCTTTACTTCCAAGGAAGGGCTTTGAAAAGTATCCCCCCTCTTCAAAGCCTTTCCGCTGTCTCCACTGTAGGTGATCATGCTATCCCTGTAATAGCAGTACCACTTGAGAAGTAGGATGTACTGTACATGCTCTTTCATTTCCACCCTAAGACAAGCTCTACCAAATAGCATTCCAACCAGAAACCCATTTTATAAGAATTCAAGGTTCTCTTGATGTACATGCAGGACCCAGTCATACAAAGTGTCCGCTGTGAGAGTAGGGGGCTAGACCTGCAGCCTCGCACTGACTCCCGTGGCCTTGGGCGCTTAGAGTTAGATGTATGCAGGAGGAATGCCACTCTAGGGCAGCAACATTCTCCCCAATGCCCCATACACAGGATAGTAAATGGGGATGAGATTTGATGTCCTTCCCTCTAACTCAGGAAAAAGAACAGTCTTTATCAAACATTTCTATGTGAGTGTTATTTTCAATCATGTCCCTTTCTCCCAGAATATCACATGCTGCTTCTCTTTATAGGAATGGATGTGTTTGCAGAATGTCATTAGCCTGAGAGTTAGAAGTGGGGAACAGCAGGGCCTGCTGCGATTTTAAGGCAGATTGCTCAGGCTCCTGAGCTGACTGCCTCACAGGGTGATAAGTGTCAGAGATGGGAAACCCCTGGCTCATTATCTAACCACTCACCCCCTATATTACTGAGGAAGACATGAAATTTGAAAATAGACCTGACAGTAAGTGCTGCTAACTCCCTCTCCAGGCTCTGCACAACCCAGGGTTGGCCTAGGCTGCAGCAATCAGGAGGCCCTGGGGGCACCTCCAGCCAAGGGGCTCCATGTATCTCTTTAGACCCTGCACTAATTTCCACCCATGCTGTGGGTGAGTAGGCAGGCATGGGTACTGGGTCAATGTACACCACCCTAGACAAGGTAGGTGCTTTTTCTGCTAGCTGGCATTGGACAACCTTGGTCAAATTATAGCTTTGCTAACCCAAAACCTCTATCTGTGTTCATGGATTAGTTCAGCAATTATGAGTGGCTTTTTTTTATCTTAAGGAGGAAGATAATTGTAGACTAAAGTGATTCTCTCTGTACCTTTGGCATTTCACCTGGCACTTGCTTGCCATTCTTGGGTTTTCCTATTTATAGAACCTACCACCATCGCCTCAGGAGTCACTGATATGCATACCCTCAAGGAGCTACCACTGAGGAATGTATGAGGAAAGAAGCAGCAGGTGGTAGTTAAGCCACTCCAAATGTGGCAGCTCCATTAAGGAGCAGTCTTGGTAGGTTTGCATCTGCAAACATCACCTTGCTTCACTGTGACCCCATACACACACTTCGAGAAAGACAGCGTCCTTATCCGCATTTCACAGATGAGAGAATTGAAGTTTAAGGAGGACCAAGAGATTTGCACTCAGGTCCCACATGATATGGTAGGGCTGCCCTTGAACCCAGGCAGCCTATCGAGGAGAAAGTTGGGGGGGGGTTGTTTTTGAACCCAGGAAAGACAGCACTCTGCTTTGGGGGCTCTGCAACATGCTCATGACCCTGTATTGCTGCTAAGTGCCCAGGCTCCAGAGCAGAGAACCAGGCAGAGCCTGGGGCAAGGTAGCCTGGCTTTTCATGAAGGCCTGCTGCCCTGTTCTTGGCTAGTTTCTCTTTTCATCCACCTGTTCTCTATTTCACAGGCTTCTGCAGAAACTCCTGGGCTCCCAGACAGAGGGGGCTCTGATGACTTCATCCTGGTTTCAAAAGAAGATGAGGGGGGCAGTGCCAAGGGGCACTTCTCAGGTCAGGCTCAGCCTCTTCGCACCCTCAAAAGCACATCTGGGAAAAGCCGGACCCTGGCCTGCTCTCCTCTGGTGTTCTCAGATCCCCTGATGGGCCCAGCCTCAGCATCCTCCAGCAACCCCAGCTCCAGCCCTGATGACGACAGCAGCAAGGACTCTGGCTTCACCATCGTGAGCCCCCTGGACATCTGACCACAGGGACCCAGTCTCCCCTTCAGGGGCCTCCCTAGGGGAGACCCCTCTGAAACCAGTGCTGCTTCCCCAGCATGCATTTGGCATTGGTACAGCCCATTGGAACCCTTTAGAAAGAAGCAAATACACCTATGTTCACAAAAATGCAGACAGGACTTTCTGGGCCCTTACCTGACCCCACCCCAATTCTTGCTCTGAATTAGAGCCAGACTAAGTACCCAGAACCATACTCTGAGAAAAGACCAAGCCACAATATGAACCACTTTTCCCCAACTTCTCCTCCCCAACTGAGAGTGTCTGACAATGCCATCAGTTACCTTTAGGAGGAGGTGGACAGCTTCCCTCCCTCAAAGCATCAGCCACCGGGAAAGTAGTTGATATCGAGAGTGCTTTCTCTGTAGAAATCTGCCTCATATTACTTAGTTCCTACCTAGGGAAGCCATATAGCAGAGCCAAGTGCAATAGAATGAACTAGAACAAGGGATTCCAGGACATGGAAAAACCCATTACTCAATTACTGACCTCTCAAAGTTATGATTTCTAGAAACTGGGTCTAAAGTTAAATTACACCATACCTCAAAACAACTTTTAAGATTCTTTTGATTTGTTAAAGAAGACATTTAAAATCCTCAGACCTTATAGTTCCTCCTTAAACAATTACATTTTACTTTTTAGAATCTTTTACAGAAAACAAGGTCACTTTAAGCCATCTTTACTATACTGACTTCATAAGTTGCAAGAGTATTACTATCCTTGAATTAAAAAAAAAGTGACCCTGACTCTAAGGGATACACATCTTTCAGTCAAAGTGTCTCTGGTTTCAGAGCTGTATTTTACTGAGAAGTAAAGGGGGAAAGCCTTGTTTATTCCTATCTATAGTCAGAACCCCTTAGTGGCCTTATGGTAGCAGTGACAGGGAATTGGACCTGGAGTCCTTTCTCTAGGGAGCAGGGCTTCCTAGAGAACATTCCAGGTGCTGGGATGTTTCCTCCCTGGGAGGGAGGAAGGAATTGCAGGGCCTGTGCTCAGCTATGAACTCCTGTGTCCTGGGCACCACCACCAAGACCAGGTCTGACAGTATATACTGGTACTTTCCTGGGCTTCAACACAGATTGGAGACCAGCTCCCTCAGCTGGCAGTTTAGGAACACACAGCATCACCTAAGCTGTTTCTCTCTGTAAACGAAAAGGACCCAAGAAGGACACCTCTCCCCTGCACCTGAGCAGGTACTCTGCCAGGGACAAGTAGGGACTGCAGATGGACATGGGGCCTGTTTTGCTTCCCAGAGTAAAGAGCAGCCCTTGCAGGGAGGCCTGGCTCTCCTCAGCAGATGGCAGTGGCAGTCTTCATGGTAACTTTAAATGAAAAGCTAAGTCTGAAAGAAGACTCCATTTATGTCCCTCCCACTGATAACCATATATTTCTCTACAGCAAATGTAATAATGACATGATTTCCCACTCGATCTCTAAGAAAATGGTGATGACTCTCAAGTCAGCTACTGCAGAGGTGGTTCTAATTAGCTCTACAATTTGCCCTTAATTAACAGAAATCCCCTCTCACCAGCAATGTGAGGTTAATGACTGGTTTGGCCAGATGGTGGGGTGTCTGTCCTTCCATGACTGGGCAACTGCTTAACAGTTGCACCAGTTAGCTCCCTGGTACCTGAGTCTGGTCCTCTCAGCACCTCTGAGTAAACTGTTCCGGGGCACGTCCCTGTGGCGACACTTTGTAAGCTCTAGGTCTTTGTGCAGTGGGCAGCCTCACACCTGTGCAGGGGTCACTTTCTCATAAAGGACTTGGGAAGGTGTCAGAAGTTCAGTTCTAGGAAGTACAGAATTGTCCTCTGCTCACTCCCACATCTCCTTTGCCCTGGGAAATAGAGGGATAGCTGGGTGTCACTGGCCACACAAGAGCCACTGCCACCCACCAAGCCAAGAAGGTTCCCTGCAATTGGCTGGGCATTTAATCATCACCAGAAACTCTCAGCCCTGTACATATGCTAAGGGAGGGTCCTCTCCATCCTGTACTTCTGTGCTGGTGCCACAGGAGCACTCGGAGGTGCTGCCTCTGTGAGCCCACTCCCTTCTCAAAGGAAACGTAGGAGGGGAGCCTGTAATGCAGCACCAGCCTCAGACCCCACCCCACAGGTTCAGAGGTAGAGCAATGTAGGAGTAGTGTTTTTTTTCTAAGTGACTTTTTTTATTATTATTCTTTGGTGAACATTATTTGCATTTTTTATTAGTTACAGTGCTAAAGAATGTGTTCCTTTTTATTATTTTATCAGGTACTTACATTTATATATTTTTTTAATCTTGGACATATGAGACCTTTTTGTTTTTCTTTACCAATTGTGGTAATCAATGGAATTCCTCGCATGTTGTGATTATTAGCAGTTACATTTTATATACATTAAGCTTAGATTAATTCCCGCTGTCATCCACTTTTTTTATACATGTCCCCATGCATTCCTCTCTAATGAGAAATGAATTAAAATTATCTGTGCATTACAGACTAGAGGAAGAAAATCAGCTTACTTTGCCTTATATTGTATGTATGCCAAGGTCATATAACACTTTAAACATTCAGCTATACTCGATTATTCTTGCAAGGATGAACTCCCCCTTATGTTCAGTGCCAACTGCAATCTGTAAAGAAGGACAGCACTGCAGAATGAATGTGCTCTGCCCTCTCACATTTGACTGGGCTGACTCTAGAGCACTGTCCTTTGCAGCACTGAGGAAGCTGCCATGGAGCTAGGTGCCTGCCACTAGCAGGAACACTGCCTTTACTTTGTCAGAGATGCTGAGTAGACATAAAGCTCTGACAGTTATAGTTGATCCAAATTTATCAGGAGACAGCATGACAGGTTATCACTTTTGTTTTTTAAGAATCACCCGTACGGGTCATTCAGAACAAGAGAATGTATGAAGGACTTAAGTCTCCAGCTCGCTGAATGGCTATCCTGTGAGTGCAGGGCTGGTTCCATTGCTCCTCCCCAGCAGACACATGCCTGGCTCTGCCCTGTGTGTTCAGTGCAGGAGCAGCAGGGAGCCTTGGGGCAGGGAGAAGTGGCTGCAGGAACAGGGACAGCAACTGGCCAGCCAGGCTCCTTCTCACTGGCCAAATCACTTTGTCGGTGTTAACTTTCAGTAGCTTCTTCTAGTGGTAGTAGTTCATGTAAGCAGGCTGGAGACCACGTTGATATAAAAAGTTGTCATGATAACTTTTCTCTCAGTGGCATAATTCACTTGATTTATAGAATTCCCAGTAGTGCCCTCTACAGCATACATACCATGTTTCTCATCCATCTTTATGCTGTAACTCATACTGATATAAGAAACGATTTATCCTTTTGGCAAAGTGATCCCACTCAATACGGTTATAATAAAAGACTAATGTGAAACTGACAGTGTAGCTTGACTTTTTCCAGGTGGGGTGAACACACATTGAGGTCAAGTGCAGGTATGGACATGGTCCAGCCCCCAAGCAGAGGTCACACAGCCTCAGCACTGTCTTGGTCTCACCTACCCCCTGGAAAAGACCCAGGACTCACACTAGTTGCCATCCTCTCCAACTCTGGCAAGTTGCTTAACCTCCTGGGCCTCGGATTCCTTATCTACAAACTGAAAATTCTAGTAGTCACCCATTTCATGGGGTGATAAGGATCACAGGGGATAACTGATTTAAAGCATGTAGCATAGAGAAAAGCAGGACAGCTAAGGATGATTCTGGACAGGGTAGAGTCCGACCCCTTCCACTGACAGCCATCCCTCCCCCACCCCCCAGAGGCCTGGCTACTCTTGAGACAATCCTCCTGCTTTGCCTGCTGATTCAAGAGGCCATTTGGGGGCCGCCCCAAAAGCCTACCACCCCTTCCCACTCCCACAGCATCAAGTTTGTCCTACTAGCCCAACATTCAGCACAGGGCAACAACACAGGAGTGGTGCTGAAAGCATGCTTAAGGGACAGCCAGGAAAGGTGGAGGCTGGGGGAGGAACCTTTGTAGAGCCAGGAAGCCAGTGGCTCCTAAGAATGGGTGCTTGGGCCCAGCCCCAGACTGCAGGACACTTTCCCTGCCTGTGTGCCACAGCTCCCTGCAGGCTCTGTGGAGGGTCTGGTCCACCTCTCAGAGGGCTCCTGCTAGTGAGGGTTACCCCAACTTCCTCAGGCCAGTGACAACCACATATGCTCCCCTAATGGGGCCTGGGGTACCTTGCCCACGTACCTCAAGACTGATGTGCTACAGTTCATCCTGCCCTATATGCACCCCCCTCTGGAGACTTGGCTGGAGTCCCAGGAAACTGCTGCTCCTGGTGTGAAATGAGAGAACCAATCACCCCGCACAGCTCTAGACAGAAAGCTGGGGGTCAGATGTGAGTGCAGCTGCCCTAGCCCCTGGTTGGGACTGACCACCTGAGGCCAGTGCTGGTGTTTTCCCACAGCTCCCCTGCAAGGTTAAGCTCAGGTTGCTGGCTGCCTTCCCTCTGAGTCTTCTCTCAGGATCTGCTTCTGGGAAACTCAAACTAACATTCCTTCCCTCCTGAGACATGCCTGGCTCACCCCAGCAGGTTGGAGAAAACAGGAAGCGGCCAAGGTGTCAGGTTGACTGAGCTTAGAATCCTGGCAGAAGAGGGGTTGCTGAGATGCTCCTTCCCTCCACTGTGGTCAGGAGACTGCTCAAGTCCCATCTAAGGGCCAGGACAGCCCCTCTGTGTTCCAGAACCACCTAGTTGCCAACTCCCATAAATGAGCAGTACCCATGGCCAACAGTGCCCTGCTAGGAAGAGCTACTGACAGTTCCCCTTTATTTTGTAACTTATCTCTGCCACAGCCAGCATCCGTAGCCTTTTGAGGATGTATGTGTGTCATCAGAAACTTTTGCACTGAGAGCCACATCTGTTTGTGAGAAGAGATGGTAGTTCTCACAGGAAGGGAAAGGGCCCTGGACATAGTGACAGCTCCACAACCCAGAGGATCCACTCGACATCCGTTATCTCACTCCAGCAAATTCCAATGGACAACCTCAGAGTGTGAGATTACATGAGTGTTCAGACACAAAATACCCCTGAAGTTGCCAGGAAAGGGTGGAAGAGACATGTTTCTATATAAGGAAAAAGCACTGGGGGAAAAAAAAATCCCTCCCAGCCTGGAGGGAGCCCTGAGGCTTCAGGTGGAAGGGCTAGGCTAGCTCAAGTCAGCTGTTGCTCTATAGGGGTGACAGGGACTCCCACTTCAAAAAAAAAAAAAAAACAATAAATGCTACCAAGTAGTTGAAGTGTGGAATTATGACTGCCAAATAGGTTGCACTTGCCCACCAGCATCTGCTGTAATGGGGGCTGGCCCCCCATGGAGGACTTGATGAACCAAACCCCTGGTGACTCAGCAAAGTGCACTCATGGGCTGTAGTTCAGGAAGTAGCCTGGAAACCCTCCCATGTCTCTCAGACTCATAGAAATGAAGGGATATTGAACAAGGTATAACTGAACGGAGGATGATGCACACAAACTCTTTCCTCCGCCCATGTGCCCACTCACTGATCCTGTTGATACTTGGCAAGTAGCAAGCTCAGTGGCCACACTCCTCCCTAGTGAGGCTCCACCAGACACGTCCTGCCCATGGGACTGAGTTGTGGAGGTCCCAATATTATGTTTCATTTTGCCGGCACAGTAAACTATTCCATGCACTAATGCAACCATTCATTATGCTTTGGGTCAAGGTCTCAGGCAGGGAACAGGAGGATGACTGGCCCCTGGGTATCCTGCTTTGTGAGGCCTTGGAAGACTCAAAAGCTGAGATGTAGTTTATTCACTTAGATATCTAAGCTGTATATGGAGGGGGAGAAAAGAGCAGCACACACCTGAGTGCTAGGTGGAAGCAATTTGCACTTTTTATAACCTACCCCCAGAAGAAACATGGAATCAGTCCTTCCACATTCTATTCATTCAGGTAGTCCCAAGCTCACCCAGTTTCAAGGAAAGGGAGAACAAATTCCACTTCTTTATGGGGAGGGCAATGGCCCAGAAACACATACTAGACTGAAGTGCTGCTGGGGCCACTTCTGGCACTGACTGGGACTTCTCCAGGGTGGGCAGGAGGCAGCTTCAGTGGTCCTGAGATGGACTAAGGCTCCTCTAGCCACAGTGCAGAGCTTACAGACTTCATCCAAACCTGAGCGGTAACTGCCCACTCCTCACCTCCAGGAAGCCTTCTGTAATGGTTTTAAAAAATAATCTGAAAACTTTTGACACCTTCCTCCTATCAAGAACCCCTGGAATCTCAGCTCTGAGACTCCTTAATCAGTAGAATAATATGGAGGAAGAAGTGATGCAATACCAATTTCCAGTACCCTGCCTCAAGAGACTGTCAGCTTCTACTCCCTGTCTCTTGGCTCCTGGCCACCAAGCTGCAAGGAAGCCCAATGCAGCTCTGCGGGCAGGCCTACATGAAAACAGCCAACAGACTACAACAACCTAGTGTGCCATCTTGAAAGTGAATCCCTTTACCTCAACTGACACTGGGCAGAACAGAAAAAGCTGTACCCCCTGCAGCCTTCCCAAATTGCAGAATCACAAGCAAACATATGAGATGTTAAGCCATTAAGTTTTGGGTTGGATGGTTGTGCAGCAAGGTACAACTTTCCTAACTAGCAGTATTCATCTCAAAATTCTCTCATTTGGGGACCATACATCTTTCCTTGCCCTTTCCTCCCTCTCCCTTTCCCTCGCTCTCTAATAAATATATTCATATCTAAGTTCATAGTTTACATGTCCCTTCTTGAAAAGAGGTCTGAGTCTCTGTCACTCACTGTAAGGATTCTGTCCTCATAGAGTTTCAGTCCAATGGGGAAGAAAGGCAGGGCCCAGAAAATGCACATGTGCGAATTTTTAGATGGGAACTATTGTGGCGGAGGTTAGCCAGGAAGCCCAGATAAAAATTAAATTCCTAGGCAGAGAGACAGTTTCTCAGCCTCCCTCAGGTGCCGAGCTGGGACACTGTAATATGGGCAGAGGCAGGGGTAGAGAGAAGATGACCCCAGGGGCCCAGGAGGGGAAGCCCTTTTTCTCCCCAGATTTCAAAGACCAGCCTTTCCTAAGCCTCTTTGTCATCTTTGCTTCCACTCTCAAACCTCATCCTAGGGAAGAGTCAGGCCAGCTTCGATCCAATCCCAGGGCTGCTCACAAATTGAAGGGAGCCCAGAGTGACTTGGCATCTGAAGAGATGTTAGTGTCTAGACATGTGGGCCCTGCTATCCTGCCTCACCCTACAGATGCCAGAGCACTGTCCAGCCACTCTCCCAATTAAGAGGGGACACTGAGCAAGACAGTCATCTCTGGGAACCTCCATTTCCCCCATCTGTGAAATGGGGTGGGGAAAGGCTGACAGAAAACAAGATCCAACTATATTGTTGTTTGCAAGAGATGCCCCTTAAAAGCAAAGACAGCCACAGGCTGAAAGTGAAAGGGCAGAAATTAAAATACCATGCAAATGGAGCCCCAAAACAAGCAGGAGTAACTAGCCTCGTATCTAACAAAGCAGACTTCAAATCAAAATAAATCAGAAGAGACAAAGATCACTTTATATTCATAAATGGAACAATCCAACAAGATATAATAGTTATGCCCCAAAAGGCAGGTGCAACTAATTATATAAGAGACTACTCAAATTGAAGCCTCAAACAGACTCCAGTACAATAATACTGGGTGATTTCAACACACCTCTCTCACATTAGATAGGTCATCCAGACAGACTTGGTAGAGATTCTTTGGATCTGAAAATATTATAAATCAAATGGACATAACAGATATGTATAGAATATTTCCACCAACAACTGCTGAATACACTTTCTTCTCAGCCGCTCATGGAGACTTCTCAAAAATAGATCATAATTTAGGGCACAAAGCAACTCTTGGTGAAAAACAAACAAAAAAAAAAGAGTATAATTTTTTGCATCTCATCAAATAATGGAATGAAATTAGAAATCAACACAATGAAACCCTACAGAAACTATATGATCACATGGAGATTAAACAATACACTTTTGAATTGTGAATGGGTGATAGAAGAAATCAAGGAAAAAATTTGAAACTCCTTAGAATAGCGATACACTATACCAGAACCTCTGGGACACTATGAAGGCAGGTCTAAGAGAAAAGTTTATAGCTGTGAGTGCCTACATAAAATCAGAAAGATCCCAAATAAACAACCTAATTATGCATCTCAATGCCCTTGAAAAGAACAAACCATCCCAGCAGGCACCTAATGAGGTACCAAGTGGTGTCTGGAATAATGTGAGATACATGGGCATGGAGTGATTCTACTTCGAGTTGGAACAGCAAAGGACATGGGTGAATACACTAAGGAACTACACCTGGGAAGCTGAACTCAGCCAAAAAAAAAAAAAAT